TGGCGCGGGCCGGCAGAGCCAGTGGAGCATGCGGCGAGGTGGGCACAGGGTTGGCCTAGCCCTCCGATGGTGCCAGGAGCCAGGGCGTAGGTGACATCCCAGGGCTGGAGGCTCATCCCAACAGCAATCGGGGCAGATCCAGGTGCCACCTGCCTCCCCCGGTGAGGTTTTGGCATGGGCAGGGAAGGTTGGTAGCTGCTGGCAGGAGCTCTGGAGTTGTACTGGTGTCCCCTTTGGGTCCCCTGGGACCCGTGCCAGGGCGGAGTGGTGCCCAGCGCAGACCGGCCGTACGGGGTGCGGGTGTCCCGCCGTGGGGTTTTGCCAAGCTCCTTTGCATCACAGCCCTTCCGGGGCACCTCGTGCCCCATGGTTCCCCCATGTGGGTCATCCCTCATTCCCATGCCCACCCTGGGGTGTCTGTGGGATGCGCATCCAGGGATGTGGGTGCCCTGCGCCCACTGGGACCTGCCAGGATCCACAGCCATGTGGCTGTGCCCCATGGGCTCCCATGGCCTGAAGCAGTGGGGTGGGGGCAGCCGTGGCACCGCCGGGTGCCCGTGTCATGCTGATGGCATGGGTGACAGCGGGTGCCACGGGATAGAAATATCTGGTAGGCGCCGGGTGGCTGGGAGAGCTGTGCCCACCCCCCGGGCTGGGCAGCAGGAAGGGGGGCCCAGGAGAGAGCACCCCCTCTCTGCACCCCCAGACTTTTCTCTCTTGCCCCTGGACCACGGGGGAGCCTTGCAGGTGTCTTGAGCAGGGGGGTTGAGGCTGGGAGCCCCCCTGGAAGGAAACCCACCTGCGCAGAGGAGGGATGCCGAGGGCTGGATGTCTTTGGGGGGGAAACGAGGCTGCGCAAAGCCCCCGGGCCTTGCGGGGTGTCTCCTCCGGGCGCTGGTCATCGAGTGAGGAGCGTTGTGTCGAGCTGGCCAGACGCGGGGGGCGATGGGGCGCGGGGCGAAGGGGTTAACGGTGGCTGACCCCAAGTAACCGCCGGCGGGTTACAGCAGGGTGCCCGGGAGTAACCCGCTGCCGGGCTCACCTTGGCGTGGCCGCGGGGCTGTCTGGGGGCGGCGGGTGGCCGGCGGGCGCGCGGGCGGCGATTGGCGGAGTCGCATCACCCCATCGCCGGCTTCGCTCCAGGCCTGGCGCGGGCAGCGGCGGGGAGGGCTGGCGGGGAGGAGGCGAGAACATGGCTTTAAAATATCCCGGTGCCTCGTCGTGCCCCGGCACGGGGGCTGAGCGGGGGCTGCAGCCTGCTCCTGGGGAACCCTCCGCGCCTGCCGGCATGGAGTGCACCTTCAAAGGTACCCCCTCCTCGCCATCCTTCTCCTCCCTACCTGGTGGGGTCACTGCTGTGGCCCCTCTCGGGGTGCTGTGCCCCACGGGGGTTGTCTGGGGGCTGTGCACCTTGGTGGGGGCATCTCCAGACACCCGATGTGGGGGTGTCGGGGTGTGTGGATGGGGACATCCCAGGGCACCCAGGTCCCATTGAGCAGGACAGACTGCCGAGGCTGTTTAACCCCGCGCTTGCCCAGCTGCCCTCCTGGGGGGTGCCGCAGGCAGGCACGCCTGGCACGGGGGTCTGGCACCTCCCGGGTGTGCCACCTGTCTGTCCCAGCCCGAGTACCCCCTCCCCTTGATACAGGGGCTGCTTTGGGTTTCCAGTACAGGGTAAATGAACGAGCTGGCACAAGCCCATCTCTGCCCCCCTCGACCTCAGAAACAGTCCAAGATCTGCCCCGCCACCCCCAGACCGGGCTGGGAAACTGACCGCTGGCGGCCAGCCTGCAGCACCCCCACTGCGAGTGCCGTGCCTCAGTTTCCCCACTGACAGGGTGCCTGGGAGGCTGTGAGGAGCAGGGCACAGCAGATTCCTGGGCTCTCAGGGAATGTTGCCCCTGGGTTATGGGGATCCGTCCCCAAAATGTTGAGCTGTGGGGTGGGCAGCGTGGGGCCAGCCCAGGGACCCTCAGGGCTTTGGGGACCCCTTGGGAGGTGCGGGGCTGGGGCAGCCACTGACAGCATGGGGGGGGGTGCTGTTTTGCAGACATGCTCCAACTGATCAACACGCCGGACAATGACTTCTCGGGGCTGTTTGACTCACCGTTCGGTGCCCCTGACACCGCTGTGCCCCCAGGGCTCCCTCCCGCTCCAGGCACCCTCGGCACCTACCTGGGGCCCAGCAAGCCTCCCCCTGCCACCCCCACCGGCGGCGTTTACCAGGGGCCCCCCGGGATGGCAGCCTTTGCCCCGCAGCCCCCAGCCCCGCTCCTGCCGGCGTCGGCCCCGGGTGTCAAGGAGGAATCAGCGGCTGTGCCCAGCAGCCAGCCCCAGCCCAGTGTGATGCTGGCCTCCAGCTTCGTCCCCACGTCCCCCGGCCAGTTCAGCCCCCAGCCCTTGGTGGGCTACCAGAACCAGCACAGCTTCTCTGGTGAGGATTTGGGGGTGCAGGGGGGGTCAGGGCTCCCTGGGTGGAGATTTGTTGCGGGGGGCTCTTGCTGGAGGGAGGGATGCATCCCTGTGGGGTGGGACTGCTCAGGGTGGGCCAGTGCTGGGGGGTCTGGTAACGCTGTCGTCTGCTTCATGCCCAGCCGTGCAGCCGGGGGGTGCGGGGCAGGCCCTGCCCAGCCCCCTGCCCACCCCACCGCCAGGCCAGCCCGTGGCACTGCCCGGCCCTGTGCAGAGCGTGGCACCCCAGCAGCTCCTGGCCCCCGCCACCCCTGCCACGCAGCCCATCTCACCCCAGATCCAGCCGGTGCCGGTAAGCTCAGGGCCAGGGGTGGGGGGTCCCAGTGGCCCCCCCAGCTCTGCTGACCCCCTCTGCCCCTCAGGTCCTGCTGCAGCCCCATTTCATCAAGGCTGACTCCCTGCTGCTGACGGCCGTCAAGACAGATGCCAGCAGCTCCAACATCTCCTCCCTGGCCACCAGCGCCAGCGGCTCTGCCACCCCACTGCAGGTGCCGGTAGGTCCCACTGCTGGGGAGCTCCGGGTGGGAGGATGCTCCGGGAGCCCTACCAACGCCACGCCGCATCCCCACAGGCGCTGGTGAGCGGAGGGACCATCCTGGCCACGGTGCCGCTGGTGGTGGATGCTGAGAAGCTGCCCATCAACCGGCTGGCACCCAGCGGGAAGCCGGCACTGGTGCAGAGCAGGGGGGAGAAGCGCACGGCACACAACGCCATTGAGAAACGCTACCGCTCCTCCATCAATGACAAGATCGTGGAGCTCAAGGACCTGGTGGTGGGCACCGAGGCCAAGGTGGGAGCCGGGGGGTGGTGGGACAGGGGCTGGGCAAGTGGGGGCTTCGCCTGGCATTTGGGCTGAGCCATCCCTGTCCACTGGCAGCTCAACAAGTCGGCGATCCTGAGAAAGGCGATTGAGTACATCCGCTTCCTGCAGCAGAGCAACCAGAAGCTGAAGCAGGAGAACCTTGCCCTGAAGATGGCTATGCAGAAGAACCGTGAGTGGAAGGGCAGGTCCCAGGGGGGCTCAGCCTCAGCACCGGGGCTGTCGTAGCCCCCCAGCGCCCCTCAGCCCGCTCTGCTCCCCACAGAGTCCCTGAAGGACCTGGTGGCCTCCTGCAGCAGTGGGGCGAAGGCGGAGGCCCCCATGGAGGTGGTGAAGGCGGAGGTGATGGAGATGCTGACGCCGCCGCCCTCGGACGTGGGCTCACCGTCCCACAGCAGCCCGCTCTCGCTCAGCGGGGGCAGCAGCAACAGCAGCAGCGACTCGGAGCCCGACAGCCCCCTCTGCGACCACGGCAAGGTGTGTGGGGGCTGTGAGGGGGATCCCCCTTCCCTAAGTGGGGCAGGAGATCTGCTGCATCACCCCGGGGGTGTCAAGAGCAAAGCATGCCAGATGCCAGCGTGGGGAAAGGAGCCGAGAGCCCTGGTCTTGCTCCCTGAGGCTGCTCCTCACCTGATTTGGGGCTGGAGGGAGGGGTGTGGGGGCACTCTGGGGGGCACTGGGCTGCTGCACCTGTGCCCCATGCCCCGTGCTCTGTACCCCAAAATGTGCCCTGTACCCCATGTCCCATGCCTATGCCCCATCACCATGCCCCATGCCCTTGCCCGTGCCGCATGCCCATGTCCCAGGACTCACAGCAGCTCTGCCCGTGCAGGTGAAGCAGGAGCACCCGCCACCCTCGCCCAGCAGCCAGGGCATGCTGGACCGCTCCCGCATGGCCCTCTGCGCCTTCGTCTTCCTCTGCCTCTCCTTCAACCCTCTGGCCTCCCTCCTCCACGGCTCCGGTGCTCCAGCCCCTGTGGGGAGCCCAGGCACCGCTGGCCCCGGCAGGAGCATCATGGCTGAGTCTGGCACCATGGGTAAGCTCTGGCATGGGGTGGGGACTCTTGGGGTGGAGGACATTGGGATGGAGGCTGTCAGGGTGGTGGTTGTTGGGGTGGGCACTGGGTGGAGGCCACTGGGATGGAGGCTGTTGGGATAGGCGTGGGGTGGAGGCTGTCAGGGTGGGCATGGGGCAAAGGCCATTGGGATGGAGGCTGTTGGGGCAGGCAGGGGCTAGAGGCTGTTGAGGTGAAGACCATTGGGGTGCAGGGTGTTGGGGTGGGTGTGTGGTAGGGGCTCCCTGGGTCAAGGCTGTTGGGGTGGAGCCCATCAGAGTGGAGGCTGTTGGGGTGGGCATGGGGTGAAGGCCGTTGGGATGGAGGCCATTGGAGCGGGGACCATCAGAGTGGAGGCAGTCATGGTGGACATGGGGTGAAGGCCATCAGGAGGGGGGGCCTGGGGGTAGGTCCAAGACAGGAGACAATGGGGGTGGAGGATGCTGGGGTGGGTGTGGGGCAGAGGCCATTAGGCGGAGGCTGTTGGGGTGGACACCATCGGAGTGGAGGCTCTTGCGGTGGGGGAAGGGCACCCGGGTGGGGGGCCTGGGGGGGGGGCGGGGGCGGGGG